CAGGAGGCAGCCGATCGATGATTCTCTCTCATCATTGATGTTTCTATCTCTCTCTCCCTCTCCCTTCCTCTCTGAAATCAATAAAGATATATTTTTAAAAAATAAAGAAACACGACCCAGATGCAGCCCATCCTCCTCATCCGAGAGCTACCTATTATCATGGAAAGATTAACAACCTTGCTTCTGAAACTGGGGCTGCTAGCTCTTCGCAAGCCCCCAGACTGCATTGCCAGTAATAAGTAACCATTATACCCATTTTTACTCCTTTTTCCCACTTCCCATGTAATCTTGGTCCTTGAACCCCATATAAGCAGCTGGCTTATGGGGGAGCTTGCAGAGCAGATTTTCGTGGATGACCTGCTGCTCTCCCACGCTGCCGGCATTATTGGGATAAACGCTCAGATATGAGTTAACCCTGTCTCTGCTTAATCGGCGCAAGTAGTGGCAGGCACCCCGGACCCATTGGTTGTCCGGTTTCAGAACCCCTTTTTAAGCAATTCTGAAACGAAGTCCCATTTTTCAGATTGGCAGGTAAAATACGGGCTGCTCAGTTACATTACAATTTCAGACAAACAACAAAAAATGTGTTAGCATAAGTATATCCCATGACATATTTGGGTCATACTTCATACCAACAAATTACATGTTGTTGGTCTGAAATTCTAATTTAACTGGGTGTCTTGCATTTTTATTTACTAAGTCCGGCAACCCTAACGAACAAGACACTTTTCTCTGTCAGAGGCCATCACATATCTCACCTCATTTATAATCCTCCCAGAAAGCTTCTCGGGAGCCCCAGTGCAGAGCTGGGGCCTGAACCCACGTTCTCCAGCAAAAACCAGTGCCTGTTTTTTTCACTTTAACAGGAGAGAAGAGTAAGGAGCAGTGATTGCCCCGTGGAAATCTCCCTCCCTGCTCTGATCTGTGGACGAGCTGCAGGCACCTCCTTATGTAGAAAAACCAGGGAGGGGCCTCCCGGGTTGGAACAGTGGCCGAGGAATGGAGACAGCGCTCTGGCTTCGGTGCCCAGCCCCCACTTGACCCCTCTAGGGAGGCGGGAGGAGACTGCTCCCAGGCCCTGGGGAGCTGGCTGAGGTTCGAGTAACTGCCTGCTCTGGGGCCCCGGACGCTCCTCCCCAAGACTGTTCACCTGCTGCTCTGTGCACAGACAGCAGCACGAAGCCAGCGGCTGAGGCCGCATCACCGGCAGCTCAAACAGTCCTGGCAGCCGAAAGGCAGTGGAAGGAATCTAAGAAACAGGGACCCAGGGAGCCTCCCTTATCTCCCTGTTGCCCTGCGGGAGCCTGGCACTTCTCTGTCCAGAGGGAACACCCTTTGCATTTTTCTCTCTTGACTCTGCCGATCCGCTCCCACCCCCAAATACCTGTGCCCTTCCTTCCCCACAGATAGAAGCGGTCCGCGGGCCCTGCCCGTCCCGGCTGGCTGACCCTAATGAGGCAGCAGTCAAGGGAGTTTCTGGGCTGGGACCCCCTCTGCGGTGAAGGCTGGGGTGCCTTGCTGGTATGTGCCCCAACAGGTTTTTCTCTATCGGCCTGAAATCAGCCTGGAGCCTGTCTGACCTGCCCCCCCAGGGAGCCAGAGCCAGAGGCAGAGGCAGAGAGCCAGGTCAGAGGCTGGGCTTGGAGGCTGGGCCGCGATGGTCCCACCTGGCCCCACTGGGGAAGCCGTGCACAAAGCCTCCTGTGTCGGGCTGAGCTACTGAGGCCGAGCAGGGTTCTCACGCGCGGCCTGAGGCCGGGTGTCTGGGAGGAGAGATGCTCGGGCGGGAGGCGTTGCTTGTGGGACCCAGGACGGCCTGGTCCTCTCCCACGGTTGGGAGGGGCCAGGGCCCGAGACAACAGCTGGGCTGGTCGGCTAGAGAGGTCATCTGACTGGCTGCTCCAGCTGACTGTACACACCCCCCTCTCCTCTACCAGGCCACACAGGAGCTGGTGCCCACACGGGCACAGCACCAGGCTGTGACGACACCTGCTCACCCCCAGCACCTCTGGGTAAGCACTGGGCCTGGGCCCCCTGGCTGGGGGGTGGGAGGGGGGGTGTGTGGAGAAGGGGCCTGCGGATCTCTTGGGGGAGGGAGAAATGGGTTTTCCTTTCCGACATGAGTACCTGCTCCCTGGTCCAGGCACCCATGTACCCACGAGAACACAAACACCCATCAGTTCAGAAAGTGCACCTGCTGGTCTAGATACCCCAGCTGGGGACTCGGAGGGTGAAAGGCAGACACCAGGTAGGCAGCTGGGTGGGCTGGGGCCGAGGCGGGACTGCTGCTCTTAGAAGTTAGCTCCCACCCTACATACTTGCTCACTGCCCCAGGAACACCCAGCAGGGCCACGGAGGCCAGGGGCCTTGGACCTCAGAAGGGGGTCGGTCATCCACCTCAGGCCAAGGGCTGGGAGCCGGGGGACCAGCCCTGGAGGCAGGGAGGGTTGAGGGCTCGTTTGGTGCCAGTTCTGGCAGCATCCCTGATCAACTCTCGCTTCCTGGAGGAGGGTGAGAGAGAGATGGCGAAGGTGGGGGCTCCCCTCGCACCCTTCCACTCGGGCTCCCAAACCTGCCGAGCAGGTTAAGATTCTCTTTTTCTGCAACAAGGAAAAGGGGTCGGCAACGGGAGCCCAGGTTTCAGGGCCGGGGGGGGGGGGCCCTAAAGAGGCCCAGAGGGGCCGGAAGTGCCCCTCAGTTGGGTACTGTTCCCCAGGGCAGCCAGTGGCGCCATGTCTGTGACCAGCGAGAAGATGGGGCTCTCCCTGACCCAGGAGATCCTCAGCTACCTGGGCCTTGCCAACAAGGTAGGGGCTGCCAGGCCTGTAGGAACCATTTTTACTTGATCAACTCCAGGTGTGAGGGGGGTGGGGACAGGGAAACAGAACAGGCCCCGAGGCCAGGCCAAGGGTCAGGCTGGGGCTCGGGGGAGGCCCTGGGCAGCCCTGTGATGCCTCCTTGCTCTTAAGACGGCAGCGTGGGGGACCCTGGGCACCCTCAGGACCTTCCTGAGCTTCAGTGTGGACAAGGACGTGCAGCGGCTGCTGAGGGCCATCACAGGCCAAGGTGAGCCCCTTTCCCCCTGCACTTGGGGGGGTTCCGCTCTTGGAAGCCAGTCTGCAGACCGGGACAGAGCGCGGAGGGAGGAACTGACGAACTCAATAGACGTTTGTGGAATGCCTTAATTCCTGTATGTCAAGTACCACGGTAGGTGTGTCATCGCCGTTCTCACAACACCCTGTGAGCTGTCTTATTCTTTCCATCGGACGGATGAGGAAACTGGGGCTCAGGGAGGTGAGGGCGCCTCCCCAAGGTCTCACAGCTCATAATGGCAGAGCTTGAACCCTAATCCAACTCGGCTGATCCCCAAAAGCCACTTTTTTCCCCCACCACACAGGCCACCTTTGCCTAAATTTGGGTAGGATTTGCATGCCACTTGGCATCTCATTTGCATTTTCTGTTTTAAATGTTTGTATTGAATTTTATTTTTAAAGAGAGAAAGGAAGGGAGAGGGGGAGGGAAACAGACCCATCAGTGTGAGAGAGAAACATTGATCGGCTGCCTCCTGCATGCCCCCTCCCGCCCCGGCCCCCCTAGAGGATCCAGCTCACATGTGCCCTGACCAGGAATCCAACTGGCAGCCTCTTGGTTCCCGGGTCGATGCTCAACCACTGAGCCACACCGGCCTGGCTGCATCTTCTTTTGAAACCAAATGGAAGTGGGGGTGATGGGACCCCTGCCCCTGTCCTTCCAGCCCTTTCTGGGATCTTGTCCTGTCCTCCTCGGGAGGCTTCAAGCCTGAGGAGTGAGGGGCCCCCAACCCTGTAAAGACCCTGCTTGGGGTCTTCCCAGCCCTTATCTTGGCTCAGGGGTGGACCGCACCGCCATTGTGGATGTGCTGACCAATCGGAGCCGAGAGCAGAGGCAGCTCATCGCTCAAGCTTTCCAGGAGCGCACCCAACAGGTGAGGCCACCGGGGCTTCCCAGGGGCAGTGCACTGGGGTGAGAAGTCCCTGAAGACTTGGGGTCCAGCAGGAGCAGGCCGGCCCCGGCCCCCTGGTTAAATGGGGGGTGGTGCTTCAGGCCTGAGATAAAAACCAGCCAAATATTCCCAAACCTCCCCACACGTCTGGGGCCTCCCCTCATGCCGCGCCTCTGCCACGGGGCCACGTGCAGGACCTGCTGAAGTCCCTGCAGGCAGCGCTCTCCGGCCACCTCGAGGGGATTGTGGTGGCTCTGCTGCAGCCGGCAGCCCGTTTGGATGCTCGGGAACTGAGGACAGCCCTGAAGGTACCAGGACGGGAGGCCTGATGGGGGTCTGGGCAGTGAGGTCACCCGGAGGGAAGGAGAAGGCTGCCTGACCCGCCTTTGCCCACTCCAGAGGAGCAGGCTCGGCAGAGGCCCCCTTTGACCATCCCGCCCTGACCTTAGGACAGTGGTTCTCAACCTTCCGGCCCTTTAAATACAATTCCTCATGTTGTGACCCAACCATACAATTATTTTCGTTGCTACTTCCTAACTGTAATGTTGCTACTGTTATGAATCGTCATGTCAATATCTGATACGCAGATTGGTCTTAGGCGACCCCTGTGAAAGGGTCGTTCGACCGCCAAAGGGGTCGCAACCCACAGGTTGAGAACCGCTGCCTTAGGGGGACAGGCGGTCAGCATCTGCTCTCTGCCATCCTAGGGACGTGGCCCAGTCTCAGAGCGGCCTCCCAATTTCTCGTAGGACTCGGGTGCTGCTGAGGATGTGGGGGTGGAAATCCTTGCTACTCGCACCCCACCCCAGCTGCAGGAGTGCCTGGCAGCCTACAAACATGGTAAGAGCACGAGGGAGGGAGTTGCAGGAGCTGGAAACGGAGCCGAGGACCGTCCTCGCCTTCCCTGCCCTCTGTCCGGGCGGGCGGGCGAGCCCTCAGGGAGCCTGTCTGCCCAAGTCCTGTTACCTGGGGCTCTCTCCTCCCTGCTGCCCCCACCCAGGGACCCGTCTCCCCAGGAGACAGCCAGATGTGATCAGTAAAGAAAGAGGCAGTGACGAACCATCTTAGTCTGGGGCTCCAGGGCAGATTCCACGGTAATGGCAGCATTGGGCACGATGACCGTCCCTAGGGTAGCTGTGTCATCTTCACGGCCCCTGCTCATTCCGCCATCACACCACGGCCCAGGCCAAATTGCACCTGCTGCAGCCAGGGGGGAAGGTGGGGGCCTGCTCTCTAAATCATGGGTGTCCCCTCTCGGCTCCTGGCTGCTGGCCTCGCTTGGCTGCCACATGCCTCACCCACTAATTGGGACCTAGCTCCTTCGCATCCTCATCTCAGCCACTACCCACTTTTTTTCTTTCCCCGATTTTCCTTGGACATCCAGTCTTAGCCTATCTCTCCCTTTAATATATATACAGTGGGGCCTTGACTTACGAGTTTAATTCGTTCCGTGAAGGAGCTCGTAACTCAAATTACTCGTATGTCAAATCAACAGTGAACGAGTGAGACACGTGATGCTGGGCTGATGTTGTGGCGTTCACTGTGACATTCGCTGCACCAACTAGCGGTGGGGTATCTGAAGCTGGCTCGTAACCCGAATTTTAGCTCGCAACTCAAAGCAAAAAATCGGCTGAGAGACGGCTCGTATCTCGAAAAACTCGTTAGTCAAGACACTCGTAAGTCAAGGCCCCACTGTATATTGATTTCAGAGAAGAAGAGGGAGAAAGAGACAGAAACACCAATGATGAGAGAGAACCATCAATCAGCTGCCTCCTGAATGCCCTCTACTGGGGGCTGAGCCTGCAACCCGGGCATGTGCCCTGACCAGGAATCAAACCGTGACCTCCTGGTTCATAGGCTGATGCTCAACCCCTGAGCCACATCGGCTGGGCTTGGCCTATCTCTTAATCCAGGGGTCCTCAAACTACGGCCCGCGGGCCACATGCAAATACAAATATTGTATTTGTTCCCGTTTTGTTTTCTTACTTCAAAATAAGATATGTGCAGTGTGCATAGGAATTTGTTCATAGTTTTTTTTTTAAACTATAGTCCGGCCCTCCAACGGTCTGAGGGACAGTGAACTGGCCCCCTGTTTAAAAAGTTTGAGGACCCCTGTCTTAATCCTTCTCCTACCTCTCTCCCCTGTTGCTTCTGTTTTTCTCTTTTCTCTCTTTCCTGTTCGTTTCCTTTTGTAATATCCTACCTCTCACTTCACTTTCCTAACCTCCAATGCGGGGCCAGGCCCTCGCCCTCTTGCCTCATCACATGGGTTTCCTTATCTCCTCTTCACTGCCTGGCGACCACTGGAGTAACAGGTGCCTCCTGCCCGCAGAAGGTTGGCACCTGCAGGTGAAGCCATGCCACAGTGCGTGATCCCACAGCACCTGGGCGCTCACAGCTTAGGGATGCTTTCAGGGTGGCCACGATGGTGCTTCTGCCTTCCATCCTGGGGACTAGCAGCCATTGAGCTACTGCAAGCAGGACGTAGCAGGGTTGGCAGGGCACAGTGGCCAGACATTCGACAGGTCCTAGAGGCATGCACCTTGGGGAAAACCAGGAGGATTCAGAGAGCTCCTGACCCCACCCCAGATTTCCAGGTGGAGGCAGAGGAGGACATCAAATCCGAGACCAGTGGCACCTTGCAGGACCTGCTCCTGGCCCTGGCCAAGGTGAGGAGGACTGACTTGCATCGAAAGAGAGTTACACCATCTGGGGGAGGTGGGACAGAGTGCGGAGCATTGTTTTGATGTAATGGACAAGAGAGGGCTTTGTGGGGGGACTAGGTCTGGATTGTTGACCTGGAGATGAAAAGCTGCCCCTCATAGAGTCCTCCTGAGAGAGTTTCTCCTCCTAGGGGGGCCGCGAGAGCTACTCCGAAATCATTGACTATAACTTGGCAGAACAGGACGTCCAGGTGAGCAGGGGCTGAGGAGCTGGCACAGTCATGCACCTAAGACACCTCCTCTATCATTCCTTAGAGCCAGCAACCCATGGACCCAGTTGTCCTACAAGCCTGTCCTTGCCTTGGGGAAGGAGCGTGATGGGGGCATGGGGTGTCAGGTGGTGTCACATCTGAAACCTTTCACTCATCTAACCTCTGATTCCTGACCTCACAGGAAGTGAGCTCATCAACTCCCATTGGCATTTGGGCTGGGGGTCCCTGCCCAGACTCTCCCTGGGGGATTATTTCATTCCTTCAGTGCCAGAATTTCCCAAAATGGGGGGATGGAGCTGTGAGGGCAGAACCCCTCTTGTAGTCTTACCTCCCCCCCTTTTTTAATATATTTTTATTGATTTTAGAGAGGAAGGGAGAGAGAGAGAGAGAGAGAGAGAGAGAGAGAGAGAGAGAGAAAGGGAGAGAAACATCAATGATGAGAGAATCATTGATTGGCTGCCTCCTGCACGCCCCACACTGAAGATCGAGCCCGCAACCTGGGCATGTGCCCTGACCGGGAATCAAATTGTGACCTCCTGGTTCATAGGTCAATGCTCAACTACTGAGCCACCCTGGCCTTCCCCCCCACCCCCATATATATATAATTTTTCACCCTTATCCCATTTCCACCATCATTGTGATGGATTCTGGGAACATTGTAACCATGGCTCTGCAGCCCCCAACCAACGATCCTAATTTACTCCCCACTCCCAGGCATTGAAGCAGGCTGAAGGACCCAGCACAGAAGGAACATGGGTCCTTATCCTCACCCAGAGAAACCCTGAACACCTCGTCCGAGGTACACATGAGCCCTCTTGCCTCCCCCACTTGCTCTAATGATGAGTTTTGCCTGAGGAAGGTGAGGAAGCTCATCCTTCTCTGTGATAATCAGCCCCCGCATTTATCTTTCTAACCACCTCCTCCTCACACCACAAGTGTTTGATCAGTACCAGCGGCGCACCGGGCATGAGTTGGAGCACACCGTCCGGAACCGTTTCCATGGAGATGCCCAGAGGGCTCTGCTCAGCCTAGGTAGGGGCCTGCTCAGGCCACGTGGGTCGGGGGTCCCCCTGGAACTGGGGCTACCTCTCTCCATCTCTCCCTCTTTGCTTCCAGCCTCGGTGATCAGGAACACAGCGCTGTACTTTGCCCATAAACTTCACCAAGCCCTTCAGGTAAGAGGGACACTCCTTTTCCCTTCTGCCTTGGGGACAAAAGCTGGGGGAGACACTTCCTGGGCAAGAGAGAGGAAGTTTCACGTTGCTGCTGCTAATGCAACCATTTCCTATTTACTTTATAAACTTATAGCAGCTCTCAGGTTTACAAACTGTCCTGCCAAGAGTAGAGGCGTGAGCTGTGGTTAGAGCTAAGTTAGTTGACTTAAGGGCACTCAAGCTAACATTTTGGCCCGATTCACGTCCAGGTGGCCACATATCGATATGGATTTGTGCTGGAGGACAGTGCCTTGTCCAGTTTTAGTTCTTGCCAGAATGGTGATGGTTATGACACCAGCAAGAATATGACAAGAACCAGCATTGCTTAGGCGTCCACGGTGCACCAGGGCTTATGTTGAACACATTGCCCTCATTTCAGTTAATGCCTGTTTTATAGACGAGAAACTGAAGCAGAGAGATTAAATACCTTGCCAAGGTCACACAGCTATTAAGTCATCTATTCTCCTTACAAAATACATAATGGTCCTGTAGGACATTGAACTGTCACATGTCAACTCCTCGTCTATCCCATAGGTGTTGGTCTATACAGTCCCACCTCGTTTTATTGAACGTGTAGAGATTGAGTTTTTTACAAATTGAGGTAACACCCTCCCTCTACCAGCAAAAAGATGACAACTCACTAAAGACTTAGACGATGGTTAGCCTTTTTAAGTAGTAAAGTATATTAAAATTAAGGTATATACATTGCTTTATTAGACATAATGCTATTGCACACTTAATAGGCTACAACATAGTGCAAACATATTTTTACTATGAACTGGGAAACCAAAAAGTTTGTGTGACTGGCTTTATTGTGATATTCGCTTTAGTATGGTGTGTGGAACCAAACCCACAATACCTCCAAGGTGTGCCTGTACTATAAACCACACCGTAAGTGCACCAGGAACACATTTGTTCACACTGTCAGACTTTGTTCTATATTACTCATAATTAAATTGGTGACTTTGGTTTGAGTAATTTCATAAGCAGAATCTAATCATTTTGCTCATTGAGCCAGGTCCCCCAAACTATAAGTAAAAAAAAAAATCCTCTAAAATGTGAAGAATATAAAAATGGTTATTATTTTGGCCAATGGAATAGCCTTTTGTACACTGGTTGAGAAACCATCATGCCTTGTTGACAGCTATTCAAAAGACAGTACCAACAAAAAACAAAGACAGTACATATAAGCACTTGTTTTATCATCTAGAGATTACCATTTTGACAGTGGATTATTATACTTACCCAATAAAGCCTGTATTATTATAGTGAGTCAGCACTAGAGTTGTGGTTATCTCATTTGCGTCATAAAAACAAATTGTATCCCAGCAGTAAATAATTGTATGTATTTGGATTACAGGACTCACACTCTTGAATATAAATGCTAGATTTATCTTAGAAGGAAGAGTCAAAAAAATAATATAGGCCCATTTTCCTGAATAAATTTTTCAGAAAACTTCCAAAAAGTTTGCCAATCAGATGCCAAGTACATTCTCAGGTATCAAGACTAGGTTTATGTTTAATATAGGTTTGGTGTGGAGGGTACTTGTATACCAGTGGGAATATTCAGTTAATGAGTGACCCTTGCCCAAATTCTACACCTTTGGAGTAACAAGAGTTGGAGGAAGGGATACTGGGAAGCAATTACAATCCTTATCACGACACAAAACTGATGACACATGAAATTAAAATAAAGTAGCCGTCAGGCCCACTGCCAATCAGGTAATGAGTCCAAATGAAATATAGCATTTTCTTTTTACTTCATCACTTCCTTTTGTTTCTTCATGAGAGATCTGTGGGGATGGCATGAGTGTGGGTTGCAGGCACTTCTGGGAAGGATCATGGGAGTCAAGTGACTGAGCAAACTCTGAAAAGGAGGGTGGTAGCACATGGTGACAGCACCAGTGCACAGCTCGTGACACAAACAGGACTTTTGCAACCAAAAATGTTTATTTTGCAATCTCTTGTGATAGCACATTACTTATTATCATCAATTGCCATTCATGACCTGGTCATGGTTTGTACCGCTATTATTTCTAAATGGGACCCTCCATTACCGTCTTTAACCAGAAAGCAGGAGGCCTGGTGCAGGTAGAGGAGGAAGACAGGGATGCTGAACCCCAGGGGTCCAACCAGGAGAAACTGATGTGTAAAGATGGGGCAGGGAGATGGCCCTGGTGGGCCCAGATCAGAACCGGAAGTCCCATGACTGTTCCCGGTCAGAGCCCCAACACCTCGGCTTGGGGGTAGGGTGGTGTATCCTCCTGGGACACTCACTCACTTGGGAGTTAAAAACTGTCTTCCTGGCTTTCATGCTGGAAGTCTTTACAGGTAGCAAGTCTCACTTCCCCGCTGCACTCCCCGCACACAGCTGAGCATATGCCCTGGAGAATTCATGTCTTTTGAGTGCCTGCCTTTGGAGCTGCCCACGACTGACCGACCGAGCTCTGGGGGAGCGAGGCTCTGAGCTAGTGGCCTGGCCAGGAAAGACGTGGAAGGGAAGAATAGTACCCCAGCTTCTGCCGGAGCCTGATCTTTCCTGCTGGGCCATCTTCCATGAGGGTGGACAAAGATAACTTTTCCCCTAGACCAGTGGTTCCCAACCTTCCTAATGCCGCGACCCTTTAATACAGTTCCTCATGTTGTGGTGACCCCCAATTTCATTGTTACAAATTGAACATAATTAGAGCATAGTGATTAATCACAAAAACAATATGTAATTATATATGTGTTTTCCAAGGGTCTTAGGCGTGAAAGGGTCGTTCCCCCCCCAAAGGGGTCTCGACCCACAGGTCGAGAACCGCTGCCCTAGATAATCTCTTCTCTTTCCCCTTGACGCTCACCTCACCTCCACTTTCTAGAATAATTTACCATGACATCTAATCCCTATTCTTTGAGAATCTTACTGCCATCCCCCTCCCCATTCTGCTTCTTCTCCTACTAGGAAACCGAGCCCAATTATCAAGCCCTGATGCGAATCCTTATCTCTAGAAGTGAGACTGACCTTCTAAGCATCCGAGCTGAGTTCAAAAGGAAATTTGGGAAGTCCCTCTACTCTTCCCTCCAGGTGAGCGCTCTGCCCCTCTCTTCCCAGCTGCACTCCCCGCACACAGCTGAGCATATGCCCTGGAGAATTCATGAGTCTCGGGTTAATTCAGTGTAAGGCTCCTGGCACCAGACAAGTTCTGTACCAGCACGAGAGAGGGGGCAGGGTCCTGGGCCACAGTGGTAGTTGGTCTTTCTAACATTTAGTTCTCTTGTCTGCAGGATGCCGTGAAAGGGGACTGCCGACTAGCCCTGCTAGCCCTGTGCAGGGCCGAAGACCTTTGAGACCCCCCTCCCCCTTCCACTCCCACATGGCATTCAAGGATCTGAGAGCCCCACGTTTGGCGGAGCCTGCAGGAGACCAGCGGAGCCTCCAAATAGGATAACCCCTCACTGAGCATTACATGTTCCAGCTTCTTGTTGAGGCTGGAACTCGAAGTTTTCTTTTAAATCCCTTCATTGTCCTCATCTCAAAGTGGTAGCTGCACCTGCATCGCCTAGTTCTGTCTTAGGTGTGGGTTAATGGGATCTCCTTGATAGTTTCTGCCCTGCTCCTTCTTCCCATACCTTGGGCAGAACATCTCACCCACACTGGTAGTTTTTTTTTTTAACTAATTTCATTCTTGTTTGTGTTCCCTGATTGAAGTTTGGGTGGAGCAGGACATGGGGCTGGGAGGAGGCCTTGAAGTTGAAGTGCATTGGGTTATTCAACAGGAATCCTGTTTTGGACTTTAGAGCTGCAGTTATCAACAACCCCCCTCCCTTAGGGTTGTCTCTCCCCTCCGCACCCCCTACTCCCCCCCCCGCCCCCATTATTCTCTCTTCCCCAGGAAATTTTAGGCAAAATAATTGAGACACAGGAACCTGAACAAGGTCAGAAATGGTCAGAGGTAGCAAAGGACCATCTGTACAAAACTGGGAGGCAAGCTGAGGATCAAGCTGCCTCTTGCCTGCCTGGGAAGTCTCTCGGGTTAGCAGGGAGCACAGTCCCTACATTCCTCTGTCCAAAGGGGGACTTGGAAACCCACCTCCAAATCAGAGGACTATTTCCCAAAGAAGGCCTAGCAAAAACAGAGGAACACAAACAGCGAAGGGAAAAGCAGGCTCTGGTTCCCCCTGCTGGCTCATTCAGATATGACAGGCAACCCCCTCACACCTCTACCTCCCCTCCCCCTTTGCATTCCTCAACTGGGTCAAATACTTCACCACTTGACCCCGTTGCTGCAGGGTATGGCAAACAACAGATCTCAGGAGACAACTTTTATTTCCAAACCCCTAGGAAGGCATTACAAATAATGAAGATAGAAACCCAAATCAAATCCTGAAACAGAGGGAGACGGACTTGCGGGATAGCCAGAAGGACCCCGCCAGTCACGGGGGAGGTAGGGGAGATGCATTTCAGGCAGGGACCTCACCCTGGAGCCTGAGTCTGCATATTAGTGTGATATTCTGGGAAGAGGGAGTTGGGGATCAGACATCCTCACCCCAGCAGTCCCACTGTTGCCCTGGGTGATTGGGAGGAAGAGAAGGCCGCAGCGAGTGAGCAAGGATGTCGCCGAGTCTGACCTTGACATTTCCTTCCCGCTCGGATCCCCAACCGTCCATAAATAAGTTACCCTGCATATCTCAGGGGGTGACCTGGGAGAGCAACCCAAATAGTCACAGCCTCTGACAGAGAGGCAGGACAGCCTGGCACCGGGCACCGGGCACCGAGCGCTACAGGAGGACACAGTCGGACTCCGGCTTGGGCCGCCGCCGCCGCTCTCCCGCCGGGCGTCCAGATGGGGCTCCTCTCCCCTGTATGGGATTTAACAAGTGGTCATCCATCCGCCTGGGCAGAGCACGAGGACAGATTCTAGATGGAAGGGGGTCAGGCTGGGGAGGGGCAGTGGGGAGAGTAAGAGAGGAAGGGATCCAGGGGAGAGGGCCAGACAGGAGAAGGGCCCCCCAGGGAAACCTTGAAGAATAACAACCCCTAAGGACAGGGTACAGCGGGCTCACCTGTGGCGACGGGGCCCGTGCTGGCACCGGCTGGGCCCCTTGCTGCTGTTGGTACTCCTCCTGCTGCAGTTGCTGGGCCAGCTCCAAGTCGCTGAGACCCAACGTGCCTTGTGGCTGCTGCTGCTGCAGGGACAAGGCGATCAGGTAGTCCTGCAGAGACGGGGTGAGAGCAGGGTTGTGAGGTGGGCTGCGGCCTGGGAGATATTCCGGCTAGGCTTAGGTTCCCAAACCAGTTTTTCCTCCATCTTTCCATTTCTCTCGTTCCTCCTCCTCCAGAGCATACCACACAGCCAAGCACATTCTCTGTGGTGCCAGAGAATACCCACCAAGCGTGGAGATGGCCCCCGGGTAACAGGAAAGGGACAGGGGTGTCATGTGATCATCGCTAGATGACGCGATGCACGCAGCTCACAGAGGGCAAAAAGGTCTCTGAAGGGAACGTGCTCTCTGCGCCCTTCCCCAAAGCGCCGCACACCTGGTCTACCTGCCGCTGCTTTTCCGGGGAGCCGCTCCCACCTTCTGCTCCAGGCCCCTTGCCCAGGGAATGACTCAGGTGAAAGTCAGAGTCACAAAAGCAGCTGTCCCCGTCCACGTTGTGCAGGCTCTCCCACACCACCTGCTCCTCCTGCAGAAAGCCCTGGTCGGTGACCAGCAAGTACAAGTGGCTCTGCAAGGAAGAGACAGAGCTGATTAGCAGGACAGGTGAGCTAGAGGCGGTTGACGGCCCCACGTCATCTGAGATGCCCGGAGACCATTTGAGCCAATGGGGGTGCCGGCTGGGACATGTCCGTGTGAGCTGCGGGTCTTGTATGAGTATGAGTGGCTGAGGGGAGAGGGAAGGGACGTCCGAGTGGACGGTCAGCTGGGTGAGAGAATGGCGGTCCCTGTGGTCAGGCATGGAGTCCTCAGAGCTGGGACCCTGCTTCCTCCCCTGCTTCCCACTGTTCCCTGGGCTCACCCGATGGCCGTGTGGGGAAATCCTTCGAGAACCAAAGACCTCTCCCTCTTCTACTCAATTCCTAGAGAGCTAAAACAATTTCTAACTTGGGAAGACTTTGGTACTGTTGGAAAATTCCCTTCCTGCCCTAGCTGGTTTGGTTCATGGATAGAGCGTCGGCCTGCGGACTAAAGGGTCCCAGGTTCGATTTCGGCCAAGGGCACATGCCCAGGTTGCGGGCTCGATCCCTAGTAGGGGGCGTGCAGGAGGCAGCCGATCAATGATTCTCTCTCATCAGTGATGTTTCTCTCTGTCTCTCCCTCTCCCTTCCTCTCTGAAATCAATAAATTAAAAATAATAATAATAGCCCTAAATGGTTCGGCTCAGTGGATAGAGCATTGGCCTGAGGACTCAAGGGTCCCAGGTTCGATTCCGGTCAAGGGCATGTACCTTGGTTGCGGGCATATACCCAGTGGGGAGTGTGCAGGAGGCAGCTGATCGATGTTTCTAACTCTCTATCCCTCTCCCTTCCTCTCTGTAAAAAATCAATAAAATATATATTTTTAAAAATAATAATAATAAAATAAAAATTCCCTTCCTGTCCCTTCCAATGGGACAGGATTATTATGGTTTGCTCTGGCCAATGAGATGTTAGCAGAAACGACACTTCCAGGTGGGAGCACTACAAGCCAGTGTGTGGTGTCCCTCCTGCATCCCAGGTAAGGACTCTTTTGTCAGCCTGAGACCCAGAGTGAAGATGAGGCGAGTGTCTGCAGCGGCCACGCAGCATTAGTGGGGAATAAACCTTGGCTGCAGGGAACCACAGGGACTGTGGGAGTCATTGGTTATCAGCGCTTGATCTCCCCTGTCCTGACTGAAACACTGACCCAGGAGGAAAAGGCATGAGGAAGCAAACAGCACTCCAGCCCTCCCCCCCTCCCAACGCCCCGTCACCTTGTGCTTAGTCATGGTGCTAAAGTGGTTGTTCCGGAAAAAGACGCTAAGCTCGCCCTCCTTGGCAGCCGTGGTGAGCTCGCACAGCCCGTGGTAGGTCAGCTGGGCCGCGGTGGTCTCCAGGAACTGCTCGGCAATCAGGCCTGGGCACAAGAAGCGGGGGCGGGGCCTTGGCTCACATCCCAACTCCACAGAAGGGGGGGTCACCCAGAGAGTCTCTGTCCAAAGGCCTGGGGGTGGGCCCACCCTCTGAAATCTCTTGCCTGGAACCTGGCTGCAGTCATTCATTCAACAAACAGTTGCTGAGCAGCCACCTCGCGCCCGCCAGGAACTGTACTAGGGGGACTAATGTGTTCCCCAAACTCCCTTTCTAGTGGGATGTGGTTGGTGGGGGGTGGGCGGGGGAGATAGACAATGAACAATAAATCAAAGTGCCTTCCTTCCCTCCACATAAGAGCCACAGGAGAGAAGGGGGGAGCTCACCTTCTGTCACCAGGTTGGTGTCGCTCGAGTGCTTGCAGGTGATGATCTTCTCCACCAGCTGATTGTAGCTCAGTTTCCCAACCGCACTCACAGCCTCAGGACTCTGCATGGGCAGTGGGGTGGGGTAATAACAGAAAAAAAAAATTGAGATCTTTTTAGGAAGGAAATGGACTGCAACCCTAGGACCAAAGGTTCCTGAAACCCTGGCCGTCTCAATAACTGCCTATGATTTGCTTGTATTTGAATGTTTACCAAAAATGTTTAAGGTTCAAGGAAGTCTCCACTGGGTCCTGCCTCTAAACCGGATTCCCTCCAAAGCCAATCGAATCCCTACATCCCTAACCCCTACCTCTCTAACCCCCAGCCCACAGAACGCTGCTTCTCTGTCGCTTGAGCTGGACAAGAGTCTCATCTGGGCCCCCTCACCCTCACCTGAGGATCGACAAGCCAGCCGTGGTACAGGGGGATCCCTAGGAGGTCGAAGATACTGCACTCGGGTGTGTACTCAAAATCGGAGACCCCTGTGAATCGCACATTGACATCCAGACCGGTGGCCAGTTTGGGCAGCACGGTCATTGCGTCGTCCACATTCTGGGGGTAGAAATGAAATCGATGGATATATTAAATAATTAGCACATTGCATATCTTTATTGATTTTTTAA